AGAGATGTTTATGTGTGGTTAATCTCAGCACGACATAATCTGTCTGTAAATCTTATCCTTTGCCATAGCACATGTGGACACATTGCCAGCCAAATAAGAAATTATAGCACTGCAAACGTAGCCATGGAATAGTGCATGGCATAGATTAAGACGAAATCCCTATAGATTAAACAGTAATTTCTTACTTCTGAGAGTGAAGAGAACAATACTTGGAGAACTCCAGGCAAGAGGGATTTGGGTCCTAATTTAGGACAATCATTGCATCCAGAAACTTTATCTGATACATTATATTGATGCTGACCTTTTACTTCTCAAATGGTAAATGGCAGATTTTTGGTTTGGAATGTGCTATGTTGTGATACTAAAGGTAACTGGTTTTTTTCCCCTTCTAGATATGGGCTTATTATGCCCAAAAAGTTGCCACAGAAAAATCTTGTTTCAAAGAAGCTCTCAGTGTTTGCAGAGGAGTCAGATGAAGAGGTCAGTTCAACAATTTTTCTTCTGAAATTTGCCTGCTGTTCTGCAAATCTGTCCAACTCTTAATGGCTGCATCAGGTTTTGGCAGTGTCATTAGGATGTGTCATCATTTTGGGTTTGGGTGTGAAATATGATCTGTATTTTCTTTAGTACACATTACATGAAAGTGATCATTCCTTGTTACTGTCTGTCAGCTCTTGCAGAAGTTCAGGACATGTGACAACCTGTTTGTGAGAGTTAACTGTAGCTTGTAAAGAGATTTGTTGGCTGTCACTGGTGAATGCCTGCAAATAGAAAGACCATTAGTAATCAATAGGTCTCACTCAAATGCTAACTTTAAAGTGTGGTAGTTATGTGTGTCTCATCCTTTAGTTCATTCCACCCAAATTTGATGTAATTGATTTTATGATGTTCATACTGGGAACAAAAGCAAAGCTGTACAACCCAAAAGTTCTAAAGCAAGAGAAAATGTATGATATTGCATGACAGTGTTCTTTTCTATAATCTTTAATTTTTAATTTCTTTCAAAGTAGTAGGTTCAAAATGGTCACTCTGTACCTGCCCCAGTAGAGGGCACTGTGTGCTGTGTAAATCCCACCTGGATGTGCTGCTGCAAGCACGGGAAATGTCCAGGAAGAGGCTGCGATATGGGCTGGGCTTACAGAGCCCTGTGCTTCATATATGTTCTTTCCTCCCTAGAGCTTTGCTCCATGCTTGCTCTTTTGGGTGAAGAAAAGCAATGCTAATAAAATGTCAAATAATTTTGGTCAGTTTCTGACTAGCCAAAATATTTACTTTTAAAATCTATTTTTATTTTAATGAACTAGCAGTAGTTAATTTTATATCACAGAAAGCCTGAATTTAGCATTTCCCAGCCCATGTGTACCTGGTTCCATTACAAAATCTGGAATTTTGCTGTTGAAAGTGTCTGAGCTCCTGTTTTACAGAGCATGAAAGGGCTGAGGACCTTTCTAGTGATGTCCACTCAACCCTCAACATGAAACTGCCCCAGTGCAGCTTACAGGAAACAGGACAGGAATGTGTTTTAAATCCCATCTCTTTCCTCACTTAGCTGTGATCCTCAGATGTGCATCCCTCCACTGTGGCTATAAAGAGAGGCTTTCCTTTAGATACAGTTGCTGGAGATGGTAATGGAGCATTTTCCCTGTTGCATGGAATTTGGTGTCTTTCTCTGCATTAAGGATGTGACCTCACATTTTCCAGATCCCAGGAATAAACCTCATTCAACCTGTTGTCATTAAATATTATTTGCTAGGTCTGGAAACCTTCTTGTATTTCTTCACTTCTTCATCTTCTGTTAATATCTAAACATTGAAACAAAAGAAAGAATGCTAATAATTCTAGTTAAAGTAATATGTGATGCTGTCTGCCACCTTTTAGCTTAACAGCTAAAAAGTATCCTCCCGTTCAGAAAAGCTGACAGATTCACTGTCAGAGTCTGTTATAGAAGCTCTTAAAAGTTGTTTTGCTCATCAGTATGGTACATACCCAGCAAAAAGTAATAATCTCATAACTGCCTTTATCAAAAAAGATTGTTTTTTAAAAAAAAAATCAGAATTACTTTATTAGTTCAGTAATGATTTCAGAGCTTTTCAAGATAAGGAGCAGCATTTGGGAGGGGTTTCATTTCCTGTCTGCTACTTTATCAGTCAGAACTATATCTCAAATGTCTAGAGATTATGTATTTTTAACTGAACTCTAATAAAGTTTGTGCTGGGAAATCAGCACACCTGACTTGTCTGTGATTATATATTAGATACCAAACTTTTGCTCCCTTTTTTTTAACCATTACTATGCATTTTTCACTCAGATTTTGCCTCTACCCTTGCTGAAGGAATTTGGATTTTTTTTTTCCTTGTGGTTAAGTACATTAATGTCTGTTAGTTGCTGAAGTTGGTCTTTTTGTTAGTTCATAAGGAACAGAGCATCTGGGATGGAAATTTTCTGGAAATACAGTGTTGACTGGGAAAAGGTGGCTTGACAGTCTGTGTTATGTTCAATGTTCCTTTTTTCCTTTGGAGTTTAGTTGAAATTATCTGTGTGGTACAGCAGATAAAATTTCTGTTACATGATTGCACCAGAATTACAAGTGTATGTTCCTGTACTGTACCAGTCTTTCAACACAGATTTGTTAATACAGGATGAAAAAATAACTGTACATAGACCTCAGTAGGTGCTAAATTTGGGAGGGGAATTGTGGAGCCTGTGTGAACAGTTCTGTGAATGTATCAGCTGGATTTGGTGGGTACCACTTAAAAGATAAATTGTTTGAGCAGTCAGAAACTGAAAATAAACAGAAAACTTTGTATTATAGGCACAGATTTTTGCTTTTGCTTATGGATCCTTCCATTCCCTTTGCAACTTTTCAAAGGAAGAGTCTGACTAAAAGGATCTGCTGAGTAATTGATGCTGGTGCTGACCAGAGTTTATGCAGCAGTTTCCATGCAGAGTAAGATTGTGTAGAGTAGAGGGGCTCCTAGAAAGGAGCTTTCTGAGAAGGAGGAAGTAGAAAACAGTAGCTCAAGAAGATGTATGTAAAATCAAGAATAATTCAGAGAAGTAAGGTGATGTTGCCATTTCTCATAATATGAGCAGTAGCTTGTGTTATGGAATTACCAAGTAACTGGTTTAATCTAAACAAAAGGAAGTTGTGTAGTTAAGATGTGGAACTCCTTACCACAGAATACTGTGGCACAGCCAGAAATATAAATGGATTCAGAAAAGGATTAGTCAAATTAAAGGATTGGTGTGAAACAATGGTTAAGGTGCATCCTCCAGTTCAGGAAGTCCTTGATCTGGTTTCTGGAAACTAGGATGGAGTGCTGAGAAAAGCTAATTATGTGTACATGACTTGTTTTTCATGTTCATTCACTTGATCTTTTGCTAGTAGCCATGACTCATATTGTGTGAGAGGAATTTGTTGCCTGATGTGATTTTTGTTTTTTAGCTCCATGACGACTGGAGTCTCATGTTCAGGTTGTACTTGGATTGTACATTTCTCTGTGAGGGTGGGCCAAAAGGATTCACTCCTAATTCCATTTATATGAGGGTGTAAGTAGCTCATTTTAGAGTGAGGAGCTAATTAATGGAGAGAACCATGAGAAATGTTAGCAGATTGGGGTAATTCATGTTTTGTTTTGGTTTTTTTTAATAACCTTTTCAGTTGTCTACAAGCTATATTCCATGGTCTGGTAGCAGTGGTAGACTGGAGAGCCTTATTTCTCAGAGTTCCTTGGTTTGCATGGATTCTATGTCCTTTCACAGGACAGGGTTAAAATGTTTTCGCCTTCCAGAAAATATTGAACTATAAACTTTGTGCTTCAGAAGAATAGCTTGACTAGAGGGAGGGAAGAAGTATGAGACAGATTGCTGAGCTTATAGGGCCTTTAATAAATGGGCAGTTGATAAGTAAACAATACAAAAGGACAGGAAGTTCTCATCTATCAGAGCTCACAGCACAACAGGAAATTGTCCACCATAAACCATTGGGGAAGGTGTTTGTTTTCTGTAAACTTACTGCCAGTCTGGAGAAATGGCAGATGGACTTCTTTACCATCATATGTCCAATAATGAGGATTATATATTACTTTAGTGTTAACCTGATCTTTGTAGATCAGTGCATTTATTCCATGTAGGCAGACAAGGAAAACATTCTAAGCAGGGTTTCAGATATTTTGGTGAAATAGAGCTTTTTCTGTAAAAGTAACTGCAAAATCTGTTTTGTGTTTCACTGAGCCCTGCTTTCTGGGATAGTGCAGGGGAGTTTCTTCACTGTTGAGGTACCTTTCTGTTAAACCAGTGTAAGGGTTTCCCACAGAGGAAAGCTTCAGGATGACCTTCAATGTGTCAAATAAAGGACCATCTTCTTTCCCAAGACCCAGGAGGAAATTGAGGTTTTCTGTGTAATGCTGATGTGTGTTCTGTGCTAATTTAAAATGACTGTTTATACTGACTCATTTATAGCCTTTTCAAAAGAAGATGTATGTCAAAGAATTAAAGACAGTGTTGTAAACTATTTCTGAACATCAGTTCTTCAGAACTTAGAGTTCTTCAGTGTTGAAAGCAGAAGTAAATATGAGATTAATTAAGCCAGGATTATTGTAGGTTTTAAAGTAAATAATCCACTATCTACTTCCCCCAGTCAACCAACCAACCAACTACATAAATAAACAAGAGACTGTATCCAGTTCTAGTCCAAATAATCAGCAAGCTGCAGCAGACAGGGTGCAGTCCCTGATACCACAGTCAGCTCTGTGCCTTGCTCATGTCTGCCAGGCTCAGCTTCCTAAGCCTGAGGCCTGGGCTGCTTCCTTACCTGGTTGTCTGCACCTGGGTAATAGAAAGCAACTGCTTTCTAGTGATGAGCACAGAATCATTGCAGGGCTTTTCTTCCATAAAGTGTACATCATGTTTTCCCTTTATTAGCTACAGGATTTAATCTAAGTCTGCATTTAGCAATTATAGCAGCAGAAAGAGTGGGAATATGTGCCCTTTTGAGTTCTTCTTTGTCTTTGAATCCTTTGCTTTGAGTGAGCTAGGAAGGAATATTTCGAGTGTTCTGTGTTTCAGGGAGGTTTGATTGTAGTATTACTTAAGAAAGTCTTGTGTTTGTGGGAGATGAACAAAGGTATCTCGAGGTCAGTGGATTCTGTTGTGATAACATGTACTTCTCCAAATAATGACAGTGTTACCTTAACATCTTCACTTGCTGAGTCTAGAATTACTTGGTACTCCTCTGAGATACTAGCTTTCTGACATTTAAAAAAAAATAAAAAACAGAGGAGTTTGCAAGTACTTTTATTACTAATGGTTTCCATAGCAGAAAAAAAAAATCCCTTAGAGGTGATCACTGTCTGTACCTATTTGTTAGTCCCATCCTGGGTGGGTGACAGAGGCCCCAAAAATATTAGGTGTTCCTGTGGTCGTTGTGGTGGTGAAAATGTCAGCTGGGTAAAGGAACAGAAATGGACGAGAATTTGTGATTTTAATCTTTCCCAGTGCCAAGGAGGAACTGGGTACTCAGCACAGGGCCAGTGTCTGCTCACACAGCACTGCCCAGGGGCCAAATCAAGGCACCTCTGAGGAGGGAAGAGAGACAGAGTGCACAGAGTCACATGTAATGAAACTCCATCCCTGCACAACTTCCCTGTTTCTGAAATTAACCAGGGGGAAAAAAAAAGATTTGCACTGTTTACAGTCTGTCCTGTAGAAAACTGTGGAAAAGCACTTGTTGTTTTTCCTTGTTGACATAATCTGTTAAAGTTTTAATAGAATAAGAAAGAGGGGTCACAGCATGTTATTATTTTAAACATCAAATTAATTTAAAAGCCTTCATGTTCAGGGGATCTGTTTGAATTTAAATGGTGCTAATTCTGTTTGATTTCAAAAGATCTTAGTTCCTGCTGCCAAGCTCTCTGCTACTTGGTTTTCATTTTTAAATTTTATTAAGAACAAATTACAGAACAAATTACAGAATCTCTGCCTTTTATAAATGTGACACACAGCATGTATTAGTTAAAGCTGTAAAACTTGGAAAGCTGCTAAAATGCAAAAGGTTTTTTCCTTCCTATTTCTGCTTTTTAAGATTAAGGAATAGTCAATTACATAAACAACAATACCTGTCCTGCCATTATAGTGGATATGTTTAATAAACACTGTTACCTATTGGTTGAGAAAAGATAGATGTGTAGTTTAGGTCAAAACTAATTAAAAAAAAAAAGTAAATAAAATGCAAAGCTTTTTGGTATAAGACAGTATGATTAGAAAACCTATTTTCAGTAGGCATCTGTTTCTTCTTAGGAAAGATTAGTAATGCTATTTTCTAGTGTGTTTATCTTGAGAAATTAAACAGTAACATTTGAAGTACATGCTGTTTAGCTGTGCTCTTATTTCTGAAAATACACAACTAGTGATACAAATGAGAGTTGAAATAAACATCAAATCCTTGCAGATGTTTGTATTTAACTATGAATACAGTTTTTCTTTTTTCATGTGATTGTCAGTATCTCTGCTTGTGACTGCTGCATCTCTGCTGGACATGCAGAAAGAATTCAGTATTTTCTGCATCACACCTGTCTGTAATTGGACTATTGTATAATTGTTTGCTGGAATGGTAGAAAAAGAATTTTATCTTTTTCAATGTAATTAATTTTTTTCTGCAATATGTCCTTCCCACAGCCAACTGTTGGGGAAAGTCTTCAAAAAGAAGCATTGAAAAAGCAAGCTATGAAACAGGTAAGGGACTATTTTTAATTTACTCTCAGTGTTCTGATGGGTAAGTTTATACTATAGATCTGTTTAAATAACAATATAGGAATCAAATATTTGAAAATAGTAAAGATTTCATTATTATTATTTTGATATCTTCTCCTCCTCCCTTTTTTTGTTTCAGACTAAATTGGAGATTCAGAAGGCTTTAGAGGAAGATGCTACAGTATATGAATATGACAGTATTTATGATGAAATGCAGCAGAAGAAAAAAGAAAGCAGTGCCAAATTGTTAGCTGGAAATGATGACAAAAAGGTCAGTACCTGAGAATGTATCCTGTCTGTTCAAATCTGCCTGCTTGGGGTAACCATGACTGGTTAACTTGTAAACATGAAAGCATTGCTGGATTATCCTGACAAGTGATACTTTCATTGTTGCTTATTCTAGTTCGTTTGAAGGCTCTTGTCAGGTTCTGGGGATGAAAGGAAGCCTCCCACTCCTTAAAAGAAGGGCAAGGCTGTTGCAGTTAGGAAGACAGAGAGATGGAAAATAATAAAAAAAAGCATTTTATTTAGAGTAAAAATCCTCCTAGTCAAAGATGGGCTGACTGTTTTGATTGAATACAGCAACTTCTCTTGATATTGGGAAATGTGCTGTGTTAGGGGTCTGAAAGGAACAGCAATTTGTTTTGGATAGCTGTCAAATGGAGGGAGAGCACATTCTCCCTCTCCTGACAGTTTTCTTCCATTACCAACTTAATTCAACATCTCCATCAATCCCAATCCATGTTTTCTCAGCCACCACAATTACCTCTCAGCATGGTAACTTTATTCTCTTCTATCTCAGCCCAGATACATCCATAATATCCTCAAAGCAGCTGAGATTAGAAAGAAGGAACAAGAAAGACGAATGGAAAGAAAAATTCAGAAAGAGCGTGAAATGGAAGGAGGAGAGTTTGCAGATAAAGAAGCTTTTGTGACTTCAGCCTATAAGAAGAAGCTGCAAGAAAGAGCTGAGGAGGAAGAGAGAGAAAGAAGAGAATCGGCTCTCGAGGGTGAGATTCATAGTGAAATAATTGTCCTGAAAAATAAGTAGGGCTTTGTACATGATTTACAGTGTATTCATCTGGTGGTCTCTGTGTGAGGCTTGAGATAATTAAAATCAAAGAGGACCAGAGCAGATCCTGAATCAGATCAACCTTGGTCTGTTACTTTCCTTTGCACAAGTTACAGATGGAACAGATGAAGCTCCTCTGTTTGTGTGTCAGTACTGTTTGGGTTGGTACTTCAATTTTTGAGGGAGGGTCAGTTGTTGAAGGAAGACTCATAAGACTGGGGTACAGTGATGTTTCCAGACCTTACCTCAGACACTCTGGTAAGGATCAGGAGTAGATGTAAAGCACAGGATGTAGGATCATTAGATGAACTGGGCTGGAGTGAAACTGACGGTCACCTGTTCCAGCTGCCTGCTCCAGGCATGGTCTGCTGTGAGGCCAGATCAGGTTAGTCTGGGCTTTTTCCACTTCAGATATGAAAACCTCCAGGATGGAAATTGCAGTTGTGGTGGTGTGCAGCAGTTGTGAGTTGTGTGTGATGAGTATTTATGGCACAGTAAATCCTACCTCCCTTTCTCTCAGCATACCTGGATGTGACCAAACAGAGGGATCTCAGTGGATTCTACAGACACCTTTTAAACCAGCGTGTGGGGGAAGAAGAGATGCCTAAATGCAGCTTCCGTGAAGCCAGGTAGGATGTGACTTCAACAGGGTTTCAGGTATAAAAAGCAGCATTTGACTGTTGGTGATCCCATAGTCACTGGAAGATTAGGTAAAGAGCACTAAAACAGTGGTAAGGTAAACTGGTAATTCCATACAGCTGATTAACTGAATTATTTGGTAAATAACTAATAGTCATAAGTGACACAGAAATTAAGCAGGACAGAGACACTGTCTGAAAGATAGCAAGATGACAGTTATGATTGTAGTTCTGCTTGGTATTATTCTAACCTACATTTTCTTTGGTTTTCATAATATTTAGCAATCTGTATTAAGTTACACATTTTGAATAATGAGGAAGACAAGATGTAAAATAGCAGTAAATCATAGGAAATGAATATGCTATGAATTTTCTGTAAAGAATGTGAGTCTCTTCACTTGGTAATTATTCCACATTTAGTTGCATAAAAACTAAATTGAGTGTTGATGCTGTGGTAAAAAAGTTACTCAAATATATAGGAAATCCAGTGGGAGTATTTTGACACCTGAATGTGTGAACATTCCAAAGCAAAGTAATGAGATGAGACTGAATTATTTCAGTGTTTGAAATGGTAACATTCTGCCCTGTGGATAAATGTGATGAACGGGATGTTTCTTGTATGCAGCAATTGTTCATTTGAAACAATTAATTCAGGTTAAACCTCATTTGATAGAGGCTTAAAGCATGGATGTCACTAGTTAAGTGTTTGCTATCACAAAGAAAATGGAGCTTTCTTCAAGAGATCTTCTAGATCTGAGATTGGACCGTTAGAATGTAAATTCTTAGCCTAAGTGAAGAAAGTGATCACTGAAGTTACTCAGCTGCCTGAAGGGAGTTCTCCATGAAGTCTTCAGGATGATGTGATTTTGTACTCTGTAGAGAGCATTTGAAATGATGGATTTTTAATCTATCAAATTAAGGAAATTTCCTTTAGCGGCACATAAAATTAATTCAAGGGAAACAAATTGTCCCAGCAAGGCTTTCAAATAAACTCAGGTGTATATTTTAATTTTATGCTTATGGTGATACAGCAGGATGCAGAGAGAAAACAGCTCAGTTTTCAGATCTCAGAAGTGTCCCTAAAGTGATCCACCTCTGAGTTGGATTACTAAGTAAATTACCAAACTTTTCAGTGTAATTTTTTTAGTTGTTCATAGGTTGTCCATGCCTTCAAGCATTCAGCAGACAAAGACTCACGCTGGTGTGTGATGACTTATGAGAGTACCCCACAGGCTGTTCCTGAAGCTGTGTGATTAAATGGAAGAGATATGGCTTGTGTGAATCAACATGGATTTCCTCATCAGCCAGAAGAGAATGACAAAGCATAACCCCTTCCATGGGTCAGCATTTTGCATTAAGAATAATTGAGCTGTTAAAAGTTACTAATTTCTGTCTATCCACAAGTTAGGTCTTCAGAAATACTAGATCAAAAAAAACCATGCTCCTCCCTCCGTCAACAAAACATACAATGTGCTTCTTTTCTGGATAATTATTTGACATGAATAGAGGGCCAAACACACAGGAAAACCTGTAACTTGCCAGCAGGCTTACACAGGAACACAAATCAATGTTTTTTTCCTTAGATGGAGGCTGTGCATACTTTACTATAGTCACTCTTTCAGATAAATTCCTCAGGTCACATTCACCAGTGAGGCAGATATGGATACTTTGTGCTGAGTTCCTGGAGCCTGAGCCACAGACAGATTTGCTTCCCTGGATTTTTCAGCTGCATCTTTTGCCTAAGTCCTGACCAGAAGTCAGTTTGTAGAAAAGTCCAAGCATTCAGGTGTTTTAATGTTGTTTTTTTTTTTCTAATGTAAAAAATGTAGGATAAAGGAAGAAAAACCCAACACTCAGGATGGACCCAATGAAGGGAACAAATGCCCATTGGAAAGACAAAGAGTGAAGACCTTTAAGAAAGAAAATAATCCAGATGCTGATACTGACCTAGGAACTGATAGTAGTGATGATGACAAGAGACACAAGCATAGTAAAGTAAATTTGAAAAAGAAAAATAGAAGGGAGAACTCTGTGAGCAGTGAAGAGGAGGTTAAACATCACAAAAGCCAGAGGCATTCCAGGTCACCAAGCTCATCCAGTGTGGAGGAAGGGCCACACACCAAAGTTCAAACAGGTCACCAGAGGGGAGAGAGCAGGCCAGGCAGAAGGGGAAATGATGAACAGTACAGGGAAAAGGATTATGAGAGAAGTAGGACCCATGAAATAGAGCACCAGAGGGAAAGGGAAGAGCGACACAGGCACGGGGATCACAGTAATAGAGATCACTACAGGAGGAGGGAAGATCAAGATGATAAACAAAGGGAGAAGGAAAGAAAAGAGAGGGAGGGACATGGCAGAGAATGGAGGAGGGCAAAGGAGAGAGAGAAGGGCTCAGAAAAGGAACGAGAAAAAGAAAGAACAAGAAATGATAAAGACAGATATAATGACAGAGAGAAGGAGAGAGGAGAGAAATACAGAGAAAGGGAAGATCATGCAAAGGAGAGGAGAGAGAAATATGGCAATGATGAAAAGAAATACAGAGAGAGGAGGGAAAGTATTCCTACATCTTTAGAAAGAGATGGAGATGGTGATCTGGGAAAAGAGAGAAGGGGAAAAGACAGAGAGGTGGACGAGAAAGGAAGCTCCAGCTCTGAAATGTCTGAGCAGAAACGTAAAGCTGGAGAAGGAGAGAAAGATGAGAAAGAGCAAGCACAGAAAGCACCTGAGAACCTGAGCAAATTTGCCAAAAGGAGCAATGAGGAGACAGTGATGTCAGCACGGGACCGGTACCTGGCCCGGCAGATGGCCCGAGTCAGCACCAAACCTTACATCGAGAAGGAGGAGGATTGATGGCCCTGGGCTGGGCACAAGCACCTGGGCTGGCAGCCAAGAGGAAAGGCCACTGCTCTGCAGGTCATCCTTCCTATTTATTCCTGGCTTTCCTTTGAAAAGTTGTGTGTCCCTTAAGGGAACTTTTGGGATGGATCAATGGGTCTCTTTGACACACACCCTTAGTCTGTCTGTACAGTTGAAATGTTAACTGTGGCTGACTGTCCTCCCTGCCCTTCAGTACCATGTCCTTGGTACATGGACATTTTGGACAGACCTGGGAGTGTTGAACAATATAAGGTGAGAATGCATCCCCCTGCTCCTTTCAGCAGCCAAAACTCTGCTGAAACAAAGATGTTCTCAGCCCTTAGGATGACTCATTCCCCATGGCTGCTCTCAAAAATGGGAAGCAAACCTGTAAAAGTGGGTGAAAAAGCAAGAAAACCAACCTGAATAATGATCTTGGAGGTTTCTGTATGTAGAGTGGAGTTTTGTAAGATATATGCATATTGAGATATGAATTTTATATTATGTGTGGGTTTTGATCTGGGGACTTGATGTACAGAAACAGTCAATAAAGATACATATTGGATCAGATGTGTGGGTCTTTTTTCATGTGTAGGTTATTTTACTGCATCTTTTTTTGCATGGAATAAGGTAGATGAGTGTTTTCATGTATTAGTTGTATCTGCTTGTTAAGTGATATTTTAGATTTGTCAGTCTTCTGTTCAAAGGTTCATATTCAAGCATAAAATTATCTTCCAACTAGGTAAGTAGGATGTCTGACAGTGGTTGTAGCTTTTGGAATAGATTTTCAACACTTTAAATTGTTTCTTTCACTTTGTTTTGTTCTAGGTTTATGCTAGAATAAGGTGAATTTACATATTAAAAAAAAGGGGTAGAGATTGGTGTTTCCCTAATAGTTTGGTCAGCAGACTGAGCAGTGAGAAAAAGTGTGAGTAAAATGAAATGCAAATCCTGCCACTTTATAAAGGCTTGGAATGAGTTTTATATGTCAGTTAATCAAGTAGTTAAACACATACTTCAGTGTGGAGCAGTTTGGTTTTGCTGTTCTGTGTAAACACCCGTAATGAGCTTTGCTTCTTCTCTTGGAATGGAATGAAAGTGTTCAGCAGTGGGCCAGGGCTCAAACACTGAAGGAAATCCTCTGCTTTTTGTCAGAAGCCTTGTTGGCATTGTAAACTGGACTAGATATTGTACTGTTACTTAGAATTGAGATTTTTATCTTTGCTCTTCCCAGAAGAGAGAGGCACAAGAGATGTCTGCAGATGGTTTCTGAATATTAAATTTATTACAATAACAGTTTACAGTACAAGGCACATACTGATGACTTACAATCAGCTTGCAACACTTGTAACTAAACAGCTGCATAAATTAATACAGGTGCATCATGTACAAGTTGGAGGGAATACTTAGTTCTGTACAGCTAAAACTCCAGTTTAATTCTCTTTAAAAGGCAAAGATGCTCCTAATTTACCAGTTTCATTACTTCCTTTTCACTGTTCAGAACAGGGGGCAGGATATACTCATGGCAGATGAGTGGAAGGTGAGCTGAAGAGAAGGAATTTTTTGCCTCAAAGCACTTTGTAACTGCTGTGTAGGTCATTTGGTATCAATATAAGTAGTTTTTATACAAAACCTGTGTTTGAGGTGGTTGCTGAGCTACCTGATAAATAATGATTACTTTACATGTTTTCAGATGAGTATGTAAAAGGAAAGAAAAAGGAATTGTATGAATAAATCAATTTCTCAGTAATCAACCACTCAGCTAAATAGAAATACTAAAAAATGAACTTACCATAGCAAGATATTCAAACCAGTACACCATGTAACAAAAAAGTAATGAGGACTAAACTGCCTTTCAAGTTCAGCATTTATAGAATGAAAACATGGATGTATTGTATCTTTGTATTATTCAGGAAGAGAAAAGCCTTTTTAATCTACATTGCTTTTTGTATCTTCAAATAATTCTAAGAGTTTTCATCTTCTCTCAGTATGTCAGGACTCAGAGCACATTGTTCTCATGTTTCAGCTGTTGCAGGGCTACTGTTACTATCAGGACTTCCTGGCTGACTTAATTCACTAGGAAATATGATACTTCTTTGGAGATCGCTCTGAAACCTCCCAGAGAGACAATGTCTGTCCTCTGTCAGTGTCTTAAAAATCACCATTATTTTTGTTAGCTGAACATCTGTCTGATGAGGGAAGAAATGGGGTAGGGTTTTCTCCTTTGTTTCCCACACTTTCCTGTTGTATCCATATAAATACTTCATTCATACCTCATTGACATTTCATGTGAATTTTTTCAGTTAATGAACTCAGAAAATTTGATTTTCTGGAATTGGAAGTAGGTTTCAAATACATTTGAGGCATAAGCTACACAACTATTTTTCATTAGTAACTGTCCAGTTAGACAGATTGATTGTGTTTTTCTAGTGGTAATTAAAGAACAAAAACAAAACCCTTTTCAAAAACAGTTCAGGAGTCTAGTTCTGAAAGAACAGTCCTTGTCCCTTTTAAGTTATTTCCTCATTGGAAGTTGGGATTGAAGACTTAGATGAACTCAAAAGTCATTATACAAAGCAGAAGAGGAAGAGTGTACCTTTCTCCAGGTACACAAAGGGGGAAAACTTTGGCAGAGGTGATGGGAATGTTTTCAGAAGGCACACACAGCATCCCTGCTTTCCTCTCACCTGGCAAGTGCTTCATACCCAGATAAACTCCAACAGCTTCCTTAATGCCTCCTGCTCTGGCTGCACTGGGAATCTTGGCAACTCTATCAAAGGGATACAAAAGAGACTCTTATCCTCTATTCTATTTTACTTTCATCATAATCTATGTGCCAGAGTAGAAATACAATGCAAGTTTGTACGTGAATGATGCCTGCTTGGGTTTGTTTGCACTTCCACTGTGGCAGAACTCGGGTGCTCCAAGGGCCAGGGCAGGTGCAGCCAGGCTGAAGGGCAGCTGCATTTGGGGAGCACATGTGTGCATGTAATGTAAAGAGCTTAATATAGACCTGGGGGTTAATTTGTGTGTCAGTGCCTTGAAATTTAATAGAAATTGTTCTGATGAGAATCAATCCTGCTGAACTCTACTCAGCTTCTTGCTAAGAAAAAAAAATTCCTCTCCTTTTCTTCTTCAGCTTGAAAAACCAATGCAGTCCCGTTAGAATATGAGCTACTAAACCTTCAAAGTAGGTTTGGATAGTTGTAAATGTACTTTTGTCAGCCAGCCAAAAGGATTATTCTAAATTTTACTTCTGTAATAGGAAAGAGGAGGAAAAACCCACAGGCTCCAGCAAATTTTAGGTGTGAAATGAACTGTAAAAAAAGGGAAGTGAAGCAGAGAAAGAGATCTTTAAGATTGCACTTTTTGGCATCAGAACTCAAAAAGATTCATTGTTGGTCTGTAGTTTCTGTAGGTATGCCAGGACAATGATTGGTTATGGAAACAGTAGAGTAGGTGCTGGCAACTTAAGTGCTTGTCAAATAACTCATGATGTTTTGTGGCTTGATTGAGTCTAAAGGAAAGTGAAGCCTCAAACATCATAAAAAATGTTTTTGTAATTTTTTTATGCACGAAACAGTAGAAATTGTTACCACCTACAAACCAGAGAAATGAAAAAGGAGGCCAGTGCTACCAGCTGTGATGTGTACAGAGCTGTGCTGCTCAGCATTTTTCCTCTCCCTTTGTCTACTCCACCACAAACCTAGGGAACTTCCTATTTTTGTTTTCCTAGAAACCCCTGCCTTGCTTGAGTAACGTATGGCTATCAGAAATATTTGTGCGTTTTCCCATGTAGTTGAAGCAAGTAGAGAACCTTAGAAGCGAATACGACATTGCCCGCTACGAACGATCACACAGAGGGAGGAGATACAGGAGCACTGCCACACACTGGGGGTCTACACCTAATCCTGCCTCGCCTTGCTCGTCTGCAGGGGCTGCTGCAGGCACTCGGTGCCGCTCCTGGAGCAGGGATGTTCCCTCGTGTTCCAGAGTGAGTGCTCAGTTCAGCCTGTTGGAACAGTAGATGTCCTTGAGTTGCTTGGATAAATGTGCTGGAGGCATCACCTTTCCAAATGGTGCCAGTGGTGCAGCCTCCGTGGAAAACTCCGTTTGTTGTCTCAGCTGGAAGGGTGGTTCATTGGGGGAGAGGGTGGGGAAAATGACATTTTGTGCTCCTCTTCCCTCCCCCAGAACCAGGTTAGCTTATACTGCGTTCATGCGGATGTCTCCAAAGGGAATTTCTGTAGCTGTTTCTGGAGTAATGCTTTTCAGAATACGCTGTTGGAAAGAAATCAGTATTAGAAACTGATTAATTTTGAAGGCAATATGTAACATGTCAGACATTTAGAAAGAGATTAATAATAAAGTATGAGTTACACCTCTTGAGCTGCTTAGGAGCGTTTCAGGCCTCTGTTAGCACTAGGAAAATGGAAAGTGCTATAGAAGTACATAGCAGCATCTATAAAATTATTTCTAACATAACTGGAATCAAAGCTTGGCAGATGTCATATTAATGCTTTAGGACTTTGCAGTTTATTTGGATACCCTGAGCCAACTAAGCATATTATTTATGAACTGGTATTTATTTGAACTTAGAAGAAATTTCATTATTGTCATTATAGATTTATGGCAGAGAAATCTTACTAAATGTGTGAGAGAAAAACAAGCTTTTCTTACAGATACACACCACAAACCGGCCTTTCACTACCTTATTTGCTTGACTGGGATTTTGAGTGTCTGGGGTGAATTTCAGAAAGACTCTCCAGTTCATCAGAGCTTAAAAAATTACTTGATGTAACATTTTATAAGAATTTGTCAGTAGCCTCAATAAGAACTGGGGAGATTTGTGAAAATGGGAAGAAGGATTTAGGAGCAGAACAGCCAGTCATGATATTTTTAGGAATCACCTCCTTCTAAGAGTCAAACAAGCAACAGAACATCAGGGATACCTCCTTAAGTGTCCCTGGGGTGACGACCAAGCGATAGACCATGTAGATGGGAATGAAGATGATGGAGGAGGTTCCTATGCAGTAACCCACAACTGTGGTCCAGTAGGGATAATCGTAATCAAAGAGCCTCAGCTCAGGAGGGCTGGACAGAAAGCTGCAAGTGACAAACTGAAAGAGAAAAGGGGGAAAGTGTGAAGATGGGGATTTTGGTGGCACACGCTTTGGGGAACTCTGTTCCTGCATAGCACTGAAATAAATAGAAAATTAGTAGGACTCAAGATTAAAAATATGTTGACACTGAAAAAAATCCTAAATTGCATGAGTGTGGATTTAAAACAAATCAACAACAAATCACAAAACAAAGATCAAAAGGATCCTTCCCAAAGCAGATGTTCTCCACACTACACTGCGCTCTGTCAGAACAGGAAAAGGTAAAAATGTCAGCTCAGTTACTGATGTTGGATCGTTTTCCTGAGCATATCATTCATGACTGAAAAATTCCTTAGAAAACAACAGATACTTTTAGTTAAATATTACAGGAATAATATTTGTGACTGTCCTGGGAAGGATCTCTGACTGTTTTTTCCAGAGTATCATCAGCAAAACTTCCATACAGAA